GTAGACCTTATTTATTGCATGCAATATTGGGCTGTTTCAGGACTAATCATCATAAATAGATACCTGTTTCATCTGGTTATTCAGCAGATCTGTCCCTCTGGAGTACAAATACTTTGTGTATATTTGTTTCCCCTCATCTTGGTTTCTTGTCAGAGTTTCCCATTTCTCTTACTCCCTATTCTTGTGCTTTACCCTCTTTCTGATCATCTGTAACATCTCTCCAGCATGCTTTCTCCCACCCACAGTAGCTCTAAGGCTAGTTCCTGCTCTTGTCTTTTTGTCTGCTCAGGCTTCTTCTGTGAGTCTGCAGTTCTCCATGTTGCTGTGTGTACTGCCGCTTCCCCATTCTAATCACAGCCTTCCCCTCCTGCCTTCTCTCCACCAGCTAGGTTTAAGTCTTGGCTTACTCTCACAGCAAGTTGTTCTTTTCAGCACTGCTCCTCAGCTCTGTGCTTTTGTCAGGCCTCTTGGCACAGCTCATGCTGGGTCGTGGTGATTAGGTGGGAGCAAACATGCCAATGAGGAACTTGGTCTTTTAGCATCAGTTCCACTCCATCATGCTAAAGGAAGATAGATCACAGGAGTGCTTTCTGTTAAGTTTTAAATACGGAGTTCTCTGTGATTGTGTTGGAATGGTGAGTGGGTTATCCCAAAAAGCTTTTAACTGTTTGTAGATGGGTAGGATTTTCAAGGATGTGGTAAAGAAAGTTTCAGCAGTGACAAGTTTCTAGTTTTGCCTTGAAACTGTGGTAGCTGAAGAGTTGGGAAAATTTTTATAGTTTGCTACATGATGGAGTTAATGTATCTTCCAGCCTAGAAAATCGCATGTGTGTAACTCCTGTTGAGAGTTTCTGTGGAAAAAAACAGAATTTACTGGAAATTTTCTTAATGGAAAAAAAATGAAGGCATAAAGTCTGTTCCTAACTTATTTATGTTTTAAGGCTTTTCTTTTGGGAGAACATAAAATGCCTTCAAATGAAATTTTGTTTGAGATACTCTGGATTTTTGCAGAAAATTAAAGGAGGCTTTAGAGCCATCTAGTGCAGTAACAGAAAGTGTGAGACACGAGGAATCTTCTCATGGAGACCAACAGCAAGGGGGAGTGAATGTATCTTCTTGCAGAGACAGTTTGGCAATGGAATGCAAGTTATTTGGTTTCATACTTTCTATACTTAAGTGTAACTTTTGATATGATTAGCTGACTGGGTGCTAATTGTTTTGAGATGTATTGGTTCTTTCTTTTGGATAGCTAAAGAAACGTCAATGGACAGTAAAATGCTTTTTTTTTTTCCTCACCCAACTTGAATGAGGGAGGTTTAATATTAAAATAGGACAAGCAAAGCTGAAGTGGACGAGGGAGAGAAAATATAATGAGAGGTTTGTGGGTTGAGATAAGGATGGGGAAAGATCACTTGGGTATTACCGTCATGGACAAAACAGACTTGATTTGGGTAAATTAGTTTAGTTTATCACCAATCCAATCAGAGTAGGATAATGAGGAATAAAACCAAATCTTAAAAACACCTTACCCCCACCTCTCCCTTCTTCCTGGGCTTAACTTTACTCATGATTTTCTCTACCTCCTCCCCCTGAGCAGTGCAGGGGGATGGGGAATGGGGGTTGTGGTCAATTCATCACATGTTGTCTTTGCTGCTCCTTCCTCCTCAGTGGGAGGACTCCTCACACTCTTGCCCTGCTCCAGCGTGGGGTCCCTCCCACGGGCCACAGTGCTCCATGAACTTCTCCAATGTGAGTCCTTCCTGTGGGCTGCAGTTCTTCACAAACTGCTCCAGTGTGGGTCCCTTCCATGGGGTGCAGTCCTTCAGGAACAGGCTGCTCCAGCCTGGGTCTCCCATGGGCTCACAAGTCCTGCTGGTAAACCTGCTCAGGCGTGGGCTTCTCTCTCCACAGGTCCTGCCAGGAGCCTGCTCTGGCACGGGCTTCCCATGGGGTCCAGCCTCCTTCAGGCACCCACCTGCTCCAGTGTGGGGTCCTCCATGGGCCGCAATTAGGTATCTGTTCCACTGTTTACCCTCCACGGGCTGCAGGGGGACAGCCTGCCTCACCGTGGTCTTCACCACAGGCCGCAGGGGAATCTCTGCTCTGGTGCCTGGAGCATCTCCTCTCCCTCCTTCTTCACTGACCTTGGTATCTGCAGAGTTGTTTCTCTCTCATACTCTCACTCCTCTCTTTGGCCACAATTACTGTTCCGTGCAGTAACTTTTTCTCTTTCTTGACTATGTTATCCCAGAGGTGCTACCACCGTTGCTGACGGGCTCGGCCTTGGCCAGTGGAGGGTCCATCTTGGAGCCAGCTGGCAGTGGCTGTATTGGACATAGGGGAAGCATCTAGCAGCTTTTCACAGAAGCCACCCCTGTAGCCTCCCCACTACCAAAACCTTGCCACAAAAACCAAATACACCCAGTACACGTCTGTCTGACTGTACTATCTTTACTACTTTCATTCTCTTTTTACTATTTTTCTTCTACTTTAATGTAAAACTTACTGCATGACATATAATGGTTTAATAATACACTCAAAAAATACCAGACTGTTCATTTAAGTATCCACTTTAGCCTGAGAAAATAGTGTTTATTTTAGTTTTTTCAGCTAGAATGAAAGTACTACTTCCTATCTTGTGCCTTTTTTTTTTTTTTCGTTGAGCAACAGTACGCCTTTACAAACTAAAGTAAAAATGCATGTTAGGAAAAAGAAAAAAAAAATCTCAGTCTTACAGTTGCATCAGTATCAGTCATCCAGGAATAGCAGTGAGCTAATTAAGCTCAGTGGAATTTTCCATCTGGCATCCTTTGCTAGACTGTATAGATTTTTCTGCCCTAGTAGGGTAAGCTGCAGTAGGATATTAAAAGAGGTAATAACTTTTGTGGTACTTTAAAGTGACTGTCTGCTTATGTCTGATGCAGTTTTCTCTGACTTGCTTCCTCCATGGCTTCTCCCACTGAATTAAGGAGCTCCCTGTTCGCTTCAGAGCAGAGAGGAAGGAAGGGGCTTCTTTTAATGCTTTCTCAGTGATAAAACCCTTAAAATGCTCAGCCAGGACACGGACGTTAAGGAGATCATGCTAATTTTGGATGTCAGTGAAACGCTTTTGCATAAAGCAGACCATGGATTTTCATTTCTCTTTGTGGTAATTTCTAGTCTTAACCACTGGCCAGGATAGGATAGCGTGTACTTAGCAGCTACAACCTTCAGAGGATGGCTTGCAACTTCAGTGCTGTTCTCGAAACTCAGGGTAGGCATCCCTGTACCAGTGACACTAGGGAGACTGTGAACTGTATGGATAAGCACGCTTGTTATTGGCAAGCCGTTGGTTATCAAGTCCTCAGGGAGGTAGGCTGTGACAGCTATTTGGTAGAAACTGTCCTTTAAGGTACCTCCCTTCAGACATATCCTCAAGCAAATTGGGTAGAAAAGGCAATTGGTGTTTCCTTGATGGCCTGGAACGTTATGAAGGGTGTCCACACCACGGCAGGTTCTTGAACAGCACACTCATCTAAATCTGTATGACTCCTGTTTACATCTTCTCAAGGAGCCAAGTCTGACACAGAGCGGATAATCTCTTCCTTAATTCAAGGATGATGTCTAGAGCACAGTGAAAGGAATTTTCTTGGTGTACAGCATTGATTTCCAATATTTCTTGATGCAGAGTCTTTCCTTGGCTGTTACTTAAAACAGCAGCAGAATTCTTTAAATGCTCACAAGATACGGGTAGAATTTCCAGCTTTGCTGTAAGTTATTCCTGTAGGACTATATAAATAATGCAATGCTTAATAAACAGTATTTATATATTAATACATATATTTTCTTACAGTTTCTGACTTGAATAAGCAAAAGTGCTTACCAGTGAAAGTTTCATATTCTACTTAGAAATATGTGGCTGAAAGTAGTTTATTAATCTAGTGCTTCATAAACAAGACAGACCCACCTTCAAGGTTGAAGGCTCTCAGGTCTGTTCTTGAGACAATTTCTCACCTCTGTTCTGATATAAGGTGTCCTGAAAAGGGAGGGCAGAGGGGTCCTGGGTTGGATATCTTTTCTTTATGACTGAGAATTTAGAAGACCTTGCAGCAGATGAGGAGG